GGGGGGGGGTCTATCAAGGTGAAGGAGAGAGAATGCAGAAACGTGAAAAGCAAGCCAAATGGACTCTGAACCAAACAAATGCAAACACGGGAGAGTTATGATTGTGGGAGTTTACATAGCAGTGCCCTGTTTAAAAATACAGCAGTGTGCAGACATGGAGGTGGAGCTCACAGTCGAATCCACACTGTTTGCACCTGTTTCTATCTACAGAGGGAAATGAGAGATTATGTAATCCCTGTTCACTTTTTCAAAGTATATCAACTTCAACAAGTTCTTCCACTTCTAATCTACAACAAGTGTAGCATTGTTCGAGCTGCTCTTTTGGCAAGCATCCAGCAGTGGAAGAAGGGGAAGTGAAAAATCAAATGAAGCTCATCTCTTGATCCAGAATGTCTTAGCTCATTTCCTAAGCTGCTGCCATTGTAAAGTCATCTCTATTATGCTGACAGGCAATCAGGAATCAATAAAAGTATCATGTCAGAGTTCTGACAGAGTCTTCCACAGAATACTACCTTACTGAATCAGAGGCCGTATTGTCAGCACAACTTACTGCAAGGTCAACGAAAATATCAGAATGAAAGTACAGGACTTAAAGACTTGAGTCATCAACTTACAGGCGAGCCAGAAAGTAAAAGCAAAGAACAGGAAGCCTAAACAAACTTGACATCACATTTCTGCTTCCATCAAAACTAAACTTTGTCTTTCTGACCTTCAAACATGGCTGAAATCCACAGCTGGATCAGACTCTGACAGAGGAACGCATCACAAGATGGAAAAGACAAACCTTTGGATAAACAGTGTAGTCCCTATATCACCTTTCCCCTCTCCCCTCTCTGTCTAATACCTGTTTCCATCTATTCATTTTTATTTTCAACTATCACATTCTGAAAATGTTGAAACATCAAATCATTGTATTCAGTTGCATCATAAAGTTTTTATGCTTGCTTAAAGTTGTTATTTTATCTCTTTTTTTTTTTTTTAAGGTCTCACAAACATGCCAACATAGTCCCTGCCTTGCAAGTTACAAAAACAAAAGTCTCAAGTCTCTACTATGAAGAAGACCAGCCCCAACACAAGTCCAAGAGCTAAAGTCCCTAAAAAAGTAAATACTTATAGTTTGGGTTGGTAATCCTGGAAAAGCTAGCAAGAGCAGGCTACACTTTGAAAAAATGCGCCCGATAAGTCCCACCCCCTACCAGCGGCCCTCTCGTCAGAGCTACGCCCCCAAAACACATGAACCCACACTGCCTGACAACTGCTAGACGAAGATGTTTCCATGACTCACTTGCTATCGTTTCTACTTCAGCGGTGGATGTCAGCTGAAGACTCTGGTCAAGCACAGTGACAGCACACACAGGGTCCGTGCAAGCAGGCCAGTTGGTTAGTGACAGACAGGTGCGCCAGCAAATCATGTCATTCAGACCGAATGACATGAATTATCCTGCGACTGCCAACCTACCTACCTTTAGTCTGTGGGAACTAGATAGAGAGGAAATGTTAAGCCAATTTTACTGCTGGCTGCCGAACACTGACAGGGAGATTATCTTACACATCGCTAATTGTTTATTGATTCTACAGGGTGATATTTATGGTCAAAAATCTGTTGCTACACTGACGTGTCAAGGACTCATTGATTTCATGTTGGTTTTCATAGAGTTTGATTTAAAGTTAACAAATGACTGCTGCACGGCCAACAACCCCTTTCCCTCCTGCTTCTGCAATGTAACTGAATGTGTTGTCACAAAACAAGAAGTAGATTTGGTGCATACATTTTTATAAAATCCTTTTATAGAACCCTAATAACGTCATTCCAAGTCAATCAGCAAATGTCATTAGTGTAAAAGTCAAGGTTGAGCTGCAGGTCTGTTTTGATGTTGTCAAATCACATTCGGCATTTTATGCAGCATGAGTCAATAAATGTTTGATGCTGGATAAATACCATATAATAATGAATAAAAAGTGTATCAAGGAGAAACTGCTCATGCAAGGTCTCCAGAAAGTAGTTAAACTGACAACACAGTAAATAGTACAAACTGTATCCATCAGTGACAATGCCTGTTGGAAAGTAAGCGCAGCGGGCACACTGGCTACAGTTCTGCTCTGCTCCTGAAGAATCTGAGGAATGCTTTTACTCTGCAGGCCATCAGGCCCAGTCTCTAACAAACACACACATAACAACTGGACAGAGCATCGTAGCTTGTTTAAATTGGTCTGCTGAACAGATGTGCAGCACCGCAATGAATAAACGTGTGCAAAGACACAGGACAAGACATCTTCATAAACACACACACTTTTCCGTTGATTGTGTCACAGAGGAATACAGCGGGTGCCTTCCTCTATGCCCTAATAGAGTTTTGTCCGGGGCTGTGCTCGGTATCAATCTGAGTTATTATGTGTGCAGCAGGACTGCTCTCGATGCTGTGAGACAGAACAGACACCCACACATGTAAACACACACACAGACAAAATCCTCATCATTCACAATCCTCGCTATATGACTGAGGTACAGGAAATAATGACGAATTGATGCCAAAGGGCCTCTTTCAATTCATTCTGTGGAGAATCGCACTCGATGCTGGATGCCTCTGACCACAGACACACACTTTTCCATATATACACCGACAGCAAGCAAAAGTGCTCATTGAATTCTGTCTCTGTCTTTCTCGCTTTTTAAAAACCAAGTGTTTCCTCATTGATTCCTTCGTAGAACTGTATATATGCCCTGAAGTCACCTGTCTTTCTTCCACGAACAGTGTATTCATTTATAGTCGGGTACCAACATAATAAGCTCTTTTCTTTCTCACCAAACAGGAGAAGTTGTGCACTCATAAATGATGTGTGTGTGTGCAGGGGTGTGTGTGTGTGTGTGTGTGCAGAGGTAAAGTCTCAGTCAGTTCCTGTCTATGCTCTCGCATGGCTCCAGTGAAATACCCTCATCTAGGCAAACATAAAATCAATGGTAGCTATTAATTAGTCTACCTCTGACTGCCGGTGCTGATACAGTTATACACACAAATAGAACAGAAGCACATTACGGTCGCCAAAGCTGTTAGGAGTTGGATTGGTTTTTGAAGAATAGAGGCGCACTGGGATGTACTCAAGCTTCAAGTACATACAAAAACAGAGCTAACAATAACAAACAAACTGGAATCTGCAAATCTACACAATTTCAAGGTTAAACTGATGGGATGTGCTTGATTCCTGAGCCTGATTGTATCTCGTGACATTACAAATCCTTGTTCCTAGTTATTATGAGAGCCACAGAAAACAACAATGCACTATGGAATATTCTCACAGGTGTCAAGTTAAGTGCTGCAGGTGCAGCAGTTCAGATGTCTGTCTTATTTTTCAGCACTGCACTTTCAGTAAGCTTAATTCAGAATGGAACAGAAGGAAGATGGGACAGTGTTGTGAAGCACAGATTTGAAAACGAGGTTACTGTAAGGCAAACTGAAACTCAAATATGTCTGGGTAAAACCGCAAAGACACGAGACAATCCATCTGTCAAGAATCGCGATGTTGGAAATACTCAAATTAAAATATCTTTGATCCTTCATTTGTCTGTGTGTTCTCGTCATGTCTGTACATCTACAAAGGCTAAGTGTGTAAACACTCCCCAGGTTACTTTATAATCCTTTTCTAACAATCCTAATTGTGATCATTTTAATGTGAACGCGTAACGTGGCCAGAACCGAATGGTGTTTCCATGGAAATCAGTAAAGGATCAGATGATCAGAGGATAAAGTTGGATAGTTTCAAACAACGCTCTGTGAAACATGACAACACAATTCAAACACTGTAGAACAGAATAATATACACAGATCTCCATTACATGTTTTCATTTGTACCTGCAGGTGCAGACACCTGCTCAGGTTCACACCAAACAAAATGAGAAGGTTAGGTTGTTTTACATTGACTATAATTCACAACCAAACAGAACGTACTTTGTATCTTTGGTGCTTTCCCCCCATGAATCATCTGGGTTAACAAGTCAGATGGCACTAAAGCTCCTTGCACTTAAATTTATTCCGGGATTTACTTCCTTCATGACTCACTTAAAGGCTTCAGACCAACAAAACCACTGTGGAAGGATAAAAAATTCAAGTGTCCTTACTGATTTCAGTAAGAACACTTTTTGGTGCATCAAGCACTGCAGGCTTCAGAGGGCTCAGGGGTAAAAATTTATGGAGAACAGTCCTGTCTTTACTTCATTTTACCACAGTGCAATGCAAACCATCTGACGACGCACTGTGTAAACTAATCTTATACATGTAAGCACACAGTTCAGGTGGAATACCTGGTGGTGTTCACCTCTTTGTATTTTGCTGAATTGTTGTTAACTTCCTTGTGTTCTGAAAATCAATAAGCTTCCTGAATTGTATCCTCTATGTCGGTCCATAGTACAGCGACATGTTGTATTATTATGTTGTAGCAGCAGTTGATTTGATTTCTTACTAAGAATTAAATACAGTAGTTAGGAGGGCAAAAACAGCTTTGAGTGACCTTTTACAAGTGCAAACGTCAAGGTTTGCTGAGACCAAAACATATGAGTTGGTCTCGTTGGTTTGGTGTCTCACCTTGTTCTGGTCTGTCCAGTACAGGAAGTAACCTTTGGGGTCAACTGTCAGAGTCACCGGGGTCACAGTAGTAGAATCCTGCAGGAAAACAAGAAGAAAGACATCTGGAGTCAATGTGTGTGCTTGGGTCTGTGTTTTTACATGAGTACATGATGTTGTGTGTATAGCAGAAAAATCTGGACAATTCAAGTAATTAATGTCTTAGGATCTTAGTTTTTCTCATACTGCATGCATACCAGAGTGTGCAATGACATTGGAAGTGCTGTTTATGTTGTAAGCATGCACACAATCCTTTCCTTCTATGGTACTTTCCCCCACCATGACCTGGCATCACCACAAATGACCAATCAGCCTGGCGTGTGAGTGTGTGCATATGCATGTGTTTGTGAGCGCTTGTTAACTGCCGGTTGTTTCACAGCTGATGTTTCAATCTTTCCCGTCTTGTAACAGACAAATGCTTTCCCACAGCTCCCACATGCAGACAGCTTCAAGCCGCGCACATACGAGCGCGCACACACAGCTTGACCCTGAGGCATTACATGGCAGTGCCAGATATTATTGGACGCTTCTATAAAAAGAAAGAGCCTTTGCTTTTTTTCTCTGTGTCCACAGTGGCTGTGGTTCAGCTGAACAGTAGCATATTGTGCTCCTCAATTAGCCATGGCTCTGGGATCAAAGTGATGTAAACTACATTTGCTGTACAGAGCAAGAAAATCTTCAAAGTGACCTCACAAGGCTTCTAATGATGTCCCTATCACAGCATTCAGAGACGGCGCTAATGGTCTGCATCTGCAACATGCCTGTCAGATTTGGGTGCGACCCAATGCAACTTGCAGCATTGGGTATCATGAAAGGGTTGAGCTGCGAGCTGGTAGACAGCAGAGGAGTCTGTGCCGAGGTGCAGAGAACCATTAGTGCTCTGAAATCATTTCACACTGCCTAAATAAGACAAGTGCAGTTTATGGAGCCTGACACACCTACTCCACACTGAACTCCACCTCTTTATGAACCCATGGAGAAAAAGAAGAAATAAATTAAAAAGGGAAATGAGAGGAAAGTAAAATACTCATTCGCTGGCCGCCGCCGCCACATCAGAGGCATTTGCTATAGTGACGCTTGCTATGGCAACCCACCATTCCCATGAAATCTATTAGAGACTCGAGAGGAATCGTTTTGGTTCTGTTCACATGACTACACAATCTTTACAGGCTTGGTTGAATGACAAAAGACGTAGCTCAAACCATCGAACGTGTGCAGCGTACACACACACAGTACTTAGAGCCCGAGGGCAGGGAAAAAAGCCTCATGTTCGCAGTTCTTAGATACAGCATGTCATAACAGTTGACGCTTCATATTGCTGATCTCTGCTTGAGTTACAATCCAAGTTTAGATTCTAACAGATAAATATCTCTTTCACATCACCCATGAATATTCTGGGTGCTCGTATACATTTCTCATACTATTGCGGTGCCCGGTCTTAACATGGCTGTTTGGAATGGGCTTGATGCAGCTCTCTGTCTGAAACTGTAAAAAGTGACCTGCAGTAATTGGGCTGCGGCAAAGAAAGACCGACTGCAGGTCTCAGTCCTCAGAACCCTGAAGCTGTTTCTGCACAAAGAGCCGTTTATTCAAAGTTTGGATAAAGGTGACTTAGTATGCAGAACCCTGAACTGGAGAATCAGTTGTCGTTGACATTGTCGTGAACGTGCTGTTGTATTAATCAACAACATATTTTACGTAGATGACTCCCAGACGCCCCTGGTCCAGAGCGCTGTCCACCTGTTTATTCAAAGTTTATTAATATTAAAAGTATGGCATGTCTAAAATTGCACCAAATTCAACACTTAAGTTTCATTCCCTTAACAATACACATACAAAGTTTGGAGCAGATAAGAGGAAGAAGACATTCATTCCACAGAGAGACAGAAAAATAGACTTTGAGTTTTCTGGAATTGATAGATGAGTTAGATGACTTGATGTCACAAAGTTTATATTTCCAATAAACTAAGTCAAGAATTCACTAAGTGGGCGAGCTGCAGTGATTGATGGATTATCTGTTATGTCAGAGGGACGGGAAGGAGGCTTGAGAGCACTGGGAATCTGTCTAATGATGCGAGAGCAGTTACTTTCACCAGCTTTCTTTCTTAATGAGCTAACTCTCCATGACCACCACTACAACCACATTAAGCCATTACGGACTCAAAGATCTCCTCATGGGTCTGCATTTACAAAAAAACACATAACGCTGTGGATTAGACTTCAGTGTGATGAGATTACAACATCTGGAGTGGTAATGCTCACACTTTTTATTGTCATTTGACTACTTTGAGGATTTGTCATTAATGGGAAAGACATTAGGCGGTGATGGCCTCCCTTTTTAGTTGAAGCTAGAAACAGACTCCCTGAGGGGAACCAATCCGGGGTAGAAGATGCTCACATTTTCAGTGAAGAGTGTGTACCATTAGCCATCACCTGAGGGAGACATGTTTAAGAGATTTGAGCTCAGCATATTTCTTGCTCTCAATGCTAATGACGCGTGTCGTAACTTTAAGGCATTCAATGCTCCCCTGTGGCGCTTGATAATATCGTATTCACCGCACATCACACCAGAGGGGCCTAATACGAGATTTAAAAAATCTGCTTAAGCGTACCCAGCATCGTCTTCTACATATTTCATATCTCTTCATATCTGTCTCTGTCAGGGATCTTCAACACAAAAGCTCTACGGATTCGGATGTCTGCCTCTCCTTCACTCCCATAACAGAGAGCAACCGTCGTGCTGAATGTGTCGTTTCTTCGGGCTGACAAATAAAAACACAATTCATGCGATATTTTAAACCACAGCCTGGTATTTTATGAGCTACAGCAGGAGCAAGTGGCAGCAGCAGAAGCACAAAGCATGTACTGTATGTGCATGTCTGTATGAGGAAGGTTAGGTCTGTGGCTTTGACACTTTCCCAAACATTTCAATTGGTTTTCTGATTGCTCTTCGCCTATTCTTTTTCAACAGTCAACCGCAGAGCGCTGAAGTGCAGGCAGAGCTCTTCACCATTTAGACACTCAGCTCCTTAAAACTCATGGCTGCAGTTCGAGGAGTATGTTATGCCAACCTCGCTCGGTAGAAACAATTTTCGCCTCGACTGAATGTTCAGCAGTGTGACAATATGTGTAGTTTTCACTGAAGCTAAAAAAATGAAAAACTGAGTCTCTGCCTCGTGTTTGGGCGCCTCCGTCAAGTTGCAGGAAATATGGTCACAATCTGCCCTTCTGTTCCTGAGTTATGGTGTTGAAAAATGGCCAGAAATGTGTTTTTTGCAGAATATTTAGATGATACACAATGTAATTGAACTTTCATCTCGGATATAAATTGTCATTTTTGTATCCTATAAGAAATTAGTGTTATAATTTGCACATTAATTCTTGAGTTATGGCCAAAAAATGTTTCTGGAGAGGTCAAAAAGACAGAAATCTAATCAGTTCAATCTTGAGTTCAAATGAAGACTTTGGAAAATGTTCTTTAGTGTATTTGCGAAATATCCTTGTCATGAGAATGAGACTGACAGATGGACAAGCAACTCGAATACAAAATGCCTGCGGCCACGGCGTCTGCCAGAGAAATGAAAGCACCCTCTGGAGTAATGAAAAAAATTCTGTTGCATGGACAGTTTTTTGGTTGAGAGAGGTCAGAGAGGAGCACACTTTCAAAGCAATAGGTGGAAAATGCAGCCCTTTCTTTTAAAGACAATGCATTTCATTGTCTATTTCTATGATTCTTTCCATGAAATACAGAGGAGAGAGGAAGGAAGGAGTGTGTGGGAAATGAAACTGAGAAAGTACGTGCATGTGTCTGTGTTTGAGGGTGTGTTTTTGCAGGAAAGGCCTGGTGGGCAGTTGGTTCTGGAGATATGGCCCTCGTGTCCACACTGCAGTACACAAACACGGCTGTTAGGGGAAACAGACACATAGACACACTGAGCCCACCCCTTCTCACAACATGCCAGCCCCGGAGCTGAAAAGGTGAGCACTCATTAGTAATTACAAGTTAAGGAAACACTGAAGCTCTCTTCTTTAAGCTGAAGATCGATGATTGACAGAGTGGTTAGGTTTGCAAGTGTGAATTATTTCCTTTCTGCCATCTGTACCGGCCACACTCACACTTCTATAACACTGCTCCTAATGCCATCTGTGCTGCGCTTGAATAACCTGAGCTCAGTGAATATTAATATTTCACTTATGTGTGTGTTTCTCAGGATGATCTCATAAAATTATACATCAAAATGTCACTTACATAAACAGCACAGATTCTAATGATCAAAACAAGACTTCCTGTGGAGATCAACAAGCATGATTTCATCTTTATGAAACGACTTGACACACGATGCTGAAGCGAACAGTCACAGGTGGGCACACCTCTGCTGTTTTTCCTCATTGCAAAGGAAAGAAATCATATTTAAATGCTCATAATGTAAACATGCCCTGACAAGAGAGGAATGCCAGCAGTTATGCAAATGAGATGGGCAATGTGACATGTAGAAAGATAAATTGCAGAAGGTCCCTGTCAGGACATAAAGATCTGTTATTGTCACAGAATATGAGATAAAGACAATCATTTCACACAATGCATTTAAACTGAATTTTCAGGACAAGAGCTATATGTATATAGGTGCAGTGCAGCCATGGCTGGTCTGTTAGAGGGGCTACTACTATTATGTTTTCACCAGCTACTCAGCAGCAGTGTGCAATCAATTTTAATCAAGGTCATTTCATTACAGCTAGACTGCCAGAATAGAGTATTATGAGAAGGGAAGAAAAAAAAAGAAGACAGTGGTTATTCGAGTCTTGCCTTGTAGTTACACTGGGAGTAGCGTGTTCAGACTTCATACACTAATTAATTGCAGCTAATTGATAAAACGTTTCCAGTGAAGGGGGAGGGACGTTCAAATGTTTAATTTGCGCACATTCTCCCACTGGTACACACGCGCGCACCAAACACTCACTCACGCGCAAACATGTACACATAAGGCCACTGTGGATGTCAGGCCACATGTCAGTAGAGACGCTACAGCTGTTGCATGTTAACCAGCAGCCAGACCCTATCAGTCAACTACTGTTGCATGAGTAGCCTATAGATTTCTCCCATGCATCCCGGTGGTTGGTGCATGCATGCAAATAAATCGTGCACAAACGATGGAGAGCAAAAAAAGAGAGAATTCCCCCACTCTTGCCATTTACTTACATCATCCCATTTCATAAATTTGTTGCCCTTTCTGAGGCTCTCGGGCACGGACACTGGCTTGAGCTGCAGCGCATGAACTCCAGGCTGTGCCCCTGCCATTGACTCATCTGCTCCTCTCGACGCACGGCAGCGGTGGAAATGAGTCACTTCTCTGTTCTTCTTCTTTTTCTTCTTTTACTCTTTACTTGTCTTCCTCTGCCTGTTGTGATCTGCTTAAAAGCATGCGGACGGAAGCCCACAACTGCTGCTGCCAGGATATGTCATGCCCGCACTGACGGCGGCGGCGGTGGCTGTGGCGCGTCTCGGCTTTGGAGAGCGGCGGTGGAGGAGGCGGACGCAGGCGCAGCAGCAGACCGGGGGCCACTGGCTGACTGACTGAGAGACATGCAGCGAAAGCGAAGAAGGGGGGAGGAGGAGGAGGAGGAGGATGAGGAGGGGATCTGAATGAGTAGCACGTCTGGCTGAAAATGGTCCAAGTCAATGCAGGGACAGGATCGATGCTTGAAGTGATCTAGCGCCTCCGTGCGTCCCAGTCCACACGGTGGTCATAAATGGTCCCAAGCCTCCGCGCATATGAGACGCCAGGGATGTGGAAAAACTTGGGAGTGATGTCATACTCAGAGCAGGTGCATGCAACAGTTTTTTTTTGGTCAGTGCTTTTTGTAAAATATCTCTCACATGAAATATACCGGGTATAGGATCATCCTCCCATCTCATCATGTTTTCAGCCCTGTCTCTTTGTTGGTTGGTTTGTATGTAAGCAATTAAACAACTGCAATGACAGTTGTTGGAAGAATGTGATGTGGGCCAATCCATTAAATTCTATTACATTCTGGTGCAGATCCACATAAAGGGGCAGATTCAGGAATTTTAAATCACTTCCTTTAGGGGGTTGGTAAAGATGAGTGTGTGAAATTTGGTGCAGAGCCAAATCCAAAATAGCTAGTGGGTTTAAAGGTATGTTTCATAAAGGTGTAGCTTTTTTCAGCCACTTTATGCGAACATATGGGACTAAAAACTTGTAACTATACCACCAGTGTGTAGCTGAGAAACGAAATGTGGCCGCAGCTATAAGGCTGGTTTTACTTTAAGGAGACTTTTGGAGGTAAGTGTTCTGAGTGCGTTTGTAGCTATAATTGATTTTGGTGCATAAAACCATCAGCCTTTTTTTTTTTGATGATAGAAAAAGTGTTGATGACAGTACTCAACCCAGTAGCGCCCCCAGTCATACAGCTACCTTTTAAGACATTAAGGGACTGGGCGCTGGTGATAACTACTGGTCTAGCGGGGAGGCTCTGAGCACCGACTCAGGTGGATACAGGGAAGAGGTGTTGCTTTCACTATATTATCAGCAGCAGCCGAGTATCTGTGTGGAAGTACAGCCATCAGCTGGAACAGACACTGATTTCTGTTTCAATGCCCCTACAAGGCTGTGGGCCTTTTTACTTCTTCATGACTAAACTTCTTCAAAGTTCCATGAGTCAAGAGTGCGTCACTGCCTTAAGGACTTTTCTTAGTTTAACTTCCTTATTAAATAAAACATAGAAGCCTTTGGGCCTTTGCACTACCCACACTGTTTATTTTCTGCCATATCCAAAAAGGGACTACAGACTATCCGAGCCCTCCCAGCGTTTTCTTTGCTCTGTGTGTCTCTGTGGTCACTCACTGGCCGGTGCTGACAGTCCGACATGTCAGACTAGTCAAACCTGTCAAATTCTGACTGGCGAGTCTCATGTCAGTCGTAATAGGGAGTCTGTTTGAGTTTGCCTCCTGTCATTAATGATTGACTAACAGTGACAGTTTGGGGACCAGGCTCCGAATAGTATCTCAGAGACCAGAGCTTGGGGAAGTGAGAGAAGGACTCGAGAGAGAGAGAGAGAGAGAGAGAGAGAGAGAGAGAGAGAGAGAGAGAGAGAGAGAGAGAGAG